TTTAACAACTTTTGACACCCACTACATGCGGTACATTGTAATGGGAATCTCACAGGAGTTACATTTACAATTGATAATGATGTCAAATCGTTAAGAGTGTGCCATTGTACTGCACGTACCTCCTCCACTAAGTGTGTATAGAGTGAAGCAGCAGACTATCGTTTAACATTGCTGTTAAGATGACATTATATCATTATTCAAACAAAGCCACACAGTACCAGTTTGTCCGCACTAACATATAATTATATTCCACCACATAAAGGCCTCTGACAGAGCCTTTTAGAAAACAGGGATGCCGTCATTGGCTCATATATATGTATCTTACAAAATGCAAATTAAGAAGATATACCCCTTTGACTGGAGAAAAAGTGTGAAAACAGTTCATTATACTAGTTGTGAGGTCTATGGATGTCTTTGTTTTCTCCCTTAGGAAAAAAACTGTGAATATCTATGTGAGATGCTGAGTATATAAACTGTAAATAGGGTTTGTAATCGAGCTCAGAGCAGGAGGTTCTATAGCCATGAAAACAACAGTCTCTATACTGCAAGCACAGAACATATCTGCTGAAGGAAACAGAATTCCAGCTTGTCTCCCACAATTAGAAGACCCTTCCAAATGTAATTAACTTCATTTGTTGACACATTCATCCACCTCTTTTTAGTAAAGTGTGAGAGACAGTGTAAAGAAGCAGAATCTGTGGGGCGTGTGGTCCAGCTCCTGATCTGCAAATTGGAATATATTTATCTATTTAACTTAATAAGATTAAAATGCTGGGATGCTGAGGTTATGAAAGGACAGACTAGATGAAACTAAGAGGTGGAGCTTCTTAAGTAGTGATGAAATACTTGGTAATATTTAAGAAATGTGGCAAGCCAAAGCGAACGACTGTTTAAGCTAAGAAATGTGTTTCAGAGCGGAGGATAAAGGGGCCATTCTTGTTGCCTCAAGGTTGCCACTGCATTGTTTGTGCAAGAATAAAACAAAAGATCAGGAATCCATAATACTGATTCTGCCTTAAAAAGCTTCAACAAATAGCTAATTTCACATTAACATAGGACATAATTGAAACCAATCTTTAATTATCATTCTTATTAAACACAAGTGTGCTGCTAAATCATTGCTACAACAGCAATGCTTACAAACGGACACAGTCTTGAATACAATTTTCCATATGTACTTAACTATTCATGATCATTTCATCCATCCTTTCATAAACTATATTTTCTTTCTTGCGGGTTAGGTATTTGAACTGACTGCTGCTTGTAGGTCTTTGTATACAACCAGCCTAATGTAATTATACTCACCACCTACACACAAATTAGCATGCAAACTGTGTCGGAGGTTTAAAAATTACATGGAGGAATGTGATTTAGTACAAGAAGAGGTCTGATCTTTGAAGCAGTATTTCTGCTGCGCTGCCACAATGTCAGGTCAGCAGACCTCACTGTAGGGAAGCAGGACTGCAGCTAACAAGCTCCAAAGTACTCCATTTAAACACACATGTACAGTGCAAAGACACACAAACACACACCCACTGAGCTTCGTAACTGGGGAGCTCTTATCTCCACTGAACAAACTCTTCGAGTGATGGGAATGTTCTCAGGATGTTATCTTGTCCTCTGTGGAAATGAGATAGCCAGCCACCTTTATCACCACCCTCAGACTCTGGAGGGCCCCTGACCATTACTGGAACAAGGAGTACTAGGCTGCCAGGGGACAGAAACCAACTGAAAAAAAGAGACTGCCAGGAAATTATAAGTACGGCAAGTGGAATGACTGACAGCAGATTGGAAGGGGTTTCACGCTTAGATAGTCTTAACCCAAGTCAAAGCTATGTTTTGAGGGCCTTTTTGGACTTTGCAGTTGTTATTTGCAGATGATGCTGAACAAGATGAGAAATAAGGGAAAGAGTCATACTGTGAGCCTTGACACCTTATTAAAAATAATGTAAAATAAATGAGAGAGAACAAATTATCAAAAGAATCGGGGAAGCTAGACATTAGTTATAATTGGCACAAGAATAAACAGAAAAATATATATCAGTGAAATGTGAGATTTAATTGAAACATCTCCATGGCAACTCTCTTTTCAAGTCACATCTTTAATGAATGGGTAATGGACAAAATACACAACGCACAACTTCATATTAACGTCAGAACAGATGCCAAAAAGAAGTCAATTTTGTTGGAGAAAAAGTGATTTTGCAGTGCTCACAACAGAGTATATCAAAACAGAACAGCAGCCTTTTTTTGACACACATACACACAAACGTACGTACGTGTTGCTGTCATTTTGACTGTCTGGCAAATCCACCTCTTGTTTTCAAAGCTGGTGCAAAACCTCTCAACTCAACGCATCAAAGAGACACATGCACCTGTGAATAAATCACAGTGAATGGTAAGAATCCAGACTAGGGCCTCCTAACACCAAAGAGGTAGGATTCAAAGTGTCTGATTTAATATTCATGAAGTGCAGGGCTTTGGTGGTTGAATGCTTGTTTACTGAGATGTGTCTTTTGTCCTTGGGAGAAGGTTTGATATTCCACCGAGCAGCTGTATTTACATATACTTGCTGTTTCTTCTTTACATGATACGAAGACACACATCTCGCCTGACATGCCACATACGTTACACAATACCACATACCGGGTAATGATTGACACGCAATTTCAGTGTGCTCTCTTCTCCCATGTGAAGTATTAAAAGCTTTACTGCTGTTCTGACAGAGCTAATGAGAGTTTCTGATTGTGAAGTGTTGGTGGCTTCCGTGCGGGGGAGTTGTTCAAGTTGAGGCAGGTCCAAAGCAAAGTGAAGTCTGCAAACTGCACCCACAGGGACAGAGGTGGCAGACAACCAGTCAAAACCAGAAACAACCAACTGTCAAGCACAAAGCAGAAATGTGTTTCATTAATTAACATTTCTTTCCATCCCCAAGACCACTGTGCCTTTTTTTTAAAGATGAATGTAGGTTTGATTTGACCAACAGAAACACTTAATAGATATATAATGTAGGTTTCTGTTTCAGTAACATAACAAATATAGGGTTAACATAGAGCCAGTAACCCTTTTTCTTCATCTTTGTATCCCATTTTTCTGTTTTATCAAAGGTGGTCATTACAAACCCATGCCCTGCAGCCTAGTGTCAGTCATGCACCTGCATCAAGGACTCTGTTTTTGGGCAGCAACGTGTGAAGATAATCTCAAAGTGAAATCACAAGGGGCAGCAGTTTCCAGATGGATGACTCACAGCTTTCTTCTCTTGCTATATAAAAACTGTGGGATGTAATGTCACCTTTTCTAAGTGAAACAAACTCCTACAAGGTCGGGATGTATGTGGAACAACTAATTACTAGAGCTGAAAGAAAGCATGTGAGAAAAACCCATCTCCCCGGTGGGTATTAAAGAAAGAAAGCAGCTGGTCAGAATGTACTCTGGAGAAAACATCAGCAATTGGAGAAAGTGGTCGGGGATACTCTTCACTTTAAGTGCTTTTCTCTGAGCAGTCTGTTATTCTCCCACGCTTTCTGCTCTCTTGCAGTAGCGGCACACACACATATCCATCTTTTTCATCCCCAAGGGTGAAACAAAGCCATGCATTACGACTCAAACGAAGCTGCTCAATTTATTTCAAATGCAATAATTCAATGTATTTATGTTGATATGCCTTCAAATAAGATTAGCTCGAATTATTTTGTACCCACCATATACTCCAAATCATGCACATTACACAGGGTTTTTGGTGGTTACATTTCTCACACAGTTTGGCTAATCGATAGGTCTGTAGGACATCAGAGAAGACCTGCTGCCATCTGCTGGTCAAACTGTGAACTACCAGCACTCTTCACAGGGCTATAGTATAGGGCAGGCTACTGTAATTCAGACTATAGTACTCTGAAATCAAGACTATGACATACCATGTGTATTCAAATATTAGCAAGAATATCAAGTTGCACTGAGGATGCATTGTTATAACATCAAGTGTTCTTTTATTTGCTCTGTCTGCAATACAGCCCTCACTACTACTCTAAACCTCATATCACTCATGTAAAAGCAAAACTGGCTAAGACTATCGCAATATTGGGAAAAGCCAGACACATTCTGGACTACAACTCATTGTATACTCTATATAACACACTAATATTGCCATATCTGATTTACTGTGTGGAGATTTGGGGAAACACGTACAAAACCAACCTACAGCCGTTATGCACATTACAAAAAAGGGCTATAAGAGTTATCAATAATGTTGGATATCTTGAACACACTAATGTATTATTTTTGAAGTCACACATATTGAAGTTCACTGATCTGGTTAAATTTAAAACGACACAAATCATGTACAGAGCAAGACATAATCTACTTCCTAGGAAATTAAAAACATTGTTCATAGACCGAGAGGGTGGGTATAATTTGAGAGGAAATCTACATTTTAAACAACTCAAGGTCAGAACAACTCTGAGAAGTATGTGTATAACAATCTGTGGGGTGATTTTATGGAATGGTTTGGAGCAGGAGTTAAAACAAAGCACAAGCATAATTCAGTTTAAAAGGATGTACAGAAACACTTTTTTGGAAAACTATGAGAATGAAGAGAGGTGAATGAAGATGAGAAATTATTGTATATGTATGTATAAATGCAAATGTAAGTAGGAATAACTTGCATAATGACTTAAAGGACAATCATTGATCAAGTAAGGGGTGGGAATTAATAAGCATTTGCTTCCTCCTACTCCCTTTCGGACACATATGATTTTTTTAAATTATTATTATTATTATTAATATGAAGACTTTTTTTGTTGAATATATAAATATTATCGTGAATGTGGATAAATACTGTATTTTAACAATACGGTATTCTGTTTTTCACATTTTTTATTTGTTATTTTTTTTAATCTGTTCGAAATAAAGATTGAAATGAAATGAAATGAAAGTTCCCAAAACAAGAGAAAATGCTATCTGATGCTTCTGATTCAGTTCTTTATTTGACAGCTGGACCCTCTTGAAAGTCCCCCTCACCCTCTCTATGATCTAGTGTCCTACACGTTGGGGCCTGGATGGTGTTGAGCAGTTAGCTGCCAGCACTTGCAGGGTCTCTGAGACATTCAAGTTGTCCAAACCACATGAAATCCTCCAGAGCTGCCTCTGCAGCTTTCTGCTTGTGGTTGTGGGGGAACCGCCTGGTGCTGGTGGGAACATTAACAGCCTGCTTCACCGTGAATTCAGTGTGTTGGACCGACATGTTCCCCTCGGTTTCTTCAGAGCTGCTGTAAGCTCCGTCGTGGGACAGGCAGAAATGGGAGTGTTGCTGTCTGGGATCATTAAGACTCTTCCTGAGTCCTACACCCTGAGGGATATCAACATGATACAGAAAAGAGGTGTCCTTTTAAAAAGGTGCAACGTGGGGACGGATGTGAACATTTTATAATGGCTGGAATCTGTATTTGTACTTACATTACTGAAGACAGAGATGTTGTCTTTTAAGGCATTCTTGTTGTCATGGCCGGAGAAAGGATACTCTCTGGATTTCTATAAAGAAACTCAAATTGTAAAAATGGTAGGTTAAATACAAGTGAAGACACATGTCTAAAGGGATAAAACAAGGAGGCAGTTCCTTACTGGCAGATTTGCTTTGATAAGAAGTGCAATGTTATTTTATCTTTCAAAGCCCTGGGCCATATATACGCTGTGAAAAAACACTATACTATTCTTTGTGTAAACACACCTGCTGAGATTTCGATTTAGGAAAGCGCTCCAAGTTCAAAGCCTCAGGCAGTGCTGATTTAACCTGAGTCAGCATGATCCCAGTGCTCGTACAAGCCTCACGACTCCTTTTCTCTTTTCTGGTAAAACTTCATGAGCAAACTGAGAAGAAAATGGAGAGAAAAGCTTGTTACAAAACAAAGCAATACGATGTTATTATTTGTAATGATCTGATTATGTGTTGAAATGAAGGATTTCTTACCCATTTGCCACCATTACTCATTGAAGAACATCGCATTGCACCTTTCACCATTTTAATAGTTCGAGAGTTCACGGAGTAGTTTCAACAATACAGCACTATCCCTGTCCAACTTAACTAGTGCAAACACACTGGTGACTATGGAAACGAGCCGGTGCATGCACAACAACACAAAATGTGATCTCAATTTGCCATGGAGACGTGGAACTGGAATTCTGTCAGTAAAGGAAGGACCAATAGAGGCTGTTTTGTTTAATATTAAATTATAGCAAATTAAGTCATTATATGAACAATGTGGGATTTTCCTTATCTTTTTTTGTAAATGTGGAAAAATTACCAAATTTGTTGTTAAGGAGCTCTGCAGTTAAGCAACTGAGGACACATTTAAAGCCAAAATGGCATGTTTTTTTTTTTTTAAATGACAAGGATAACACAATTGTTTCTATTTAAAAATGACCAAGCGAACACAATTAGCATATACATGACTTTATTTTGTACAACTCTGGATTTACAAAAACAACAATTCAAAATAATATAAAATAACGTTTATTCTGGGATTTTTTAATAAGGAATGTTAATTTTTCAAAGTTATTTTTTAAATGTGTAAAAAATAAAAGTACAATTTAAAGATCCCAGATTATTCAATTTCTTTCAAATACACTTTTGGACCTAGGAAATAAAAATGATTCACATGATTTTGTTTGAAATTAACATATGTAAAAGTTAAAATAGGCCCACAGTGACTGACACTAAGCCCCGACTGTAGAACACCAGACCTTGATTTGAATGATGTGAACTAAACTACTGTAGCATAGTTTCAGTGTGGTTTGTCACCTGAAATGGTACAACTGGAGGGATTTTAAAAATCCTTTAGTGAAGAGTCTCAATGAGGTAAAATTCCATATCTGATACATTTGGAAAGAGGGATTGTAGAACAAGGAAAAACAATGTAAAACTAGGCAATTTAGCAAGTATTAATCCAACAATATATTTACAGAATATGGTGCACTTCTAAATATATTTGAGTCAAATAAAACAGTTAAGAAAGCAAAACTTCTTGAGTTATTCTTTTTGGCATTACATAATAGGAAAATTGTCTTTCAACTGCAAGCAAATGTAGAATAGGGAAATTCACATTGAGGTAATCGTGCTGAGAACTGTCATTTCCTGGATACAGTGGGAATATTCAACTAGGTCACAGTTTAGACATGGTTGTGTCCCGGTATGTATTATTAATCCCTGAGGACAAGATAAAAAACAGGTTGAATTACCTGACAATACCATCTAGTGTCAGAAAATTGTCAAGTTCTTCAAAGTAAGGTAGGCACCAATATCGATACCAAACCTTATATTTATGTATAGGCATAAAAGGAATAACATATAAGTATATCTAGTCTTAACATACTGCAATAAGCATGTACCTTCTCCCACAGTTAGTACAATTTCAGAGAAAGTAGCAGGAATGTGACAAAAATTAGTCTTAACATCAAAATGTAGCAACAGGCCAGTTATCAACAATCATGTTTAAGCACACATATACATCAAAATGGCTGCCTCCTCAGGTGACATAGTCTGGTCCAGTACTTTCATAAAGATTATGATAAATTCAAGGTACGGGATGCACGCATGCTAGCCTGTCTCCTACAATATAATGTTGGGAATTGCATATCCAGTTACGTTTTGAGGGAAACATATCAACAATTTTCTGTGTGCAAAACCTTCATTTGTTTGACCCATTCACCAGGACCTTGTCTTCTGCAGACTATTTATAATGACTCAAAAACAAACAATCCTGGAGATGTGTTTCCAGCTAAAAGTAATTGACAGATATGGGGATATCATTTTCAGGAGAACAAGCAGCTATACTGTATGTGGATATGGGGCACTGGAAGGTCACTCAGTGATTGGCTTCTGGTAATATTCTCTAAAAGCCCACTGAGTTATTCGATGAGACTAAATGAGCCCTCATCGGTGCCATTAGAGCTTTGTTGATTACGATAACATTGTCTTGACCCCATCAACTAGACATCCATAATTAGGAAGGTCATTGGGATGCTCTTGATGAAAGCGCTCTTTAATTAAGAGGCAGCTATTTGTTTGCACCTACTGCATTATGCATTTTTATTTTGAAGAGATCGTTGATTCTTACTCTGAATCACTGATGTAGGCATTTCTGCTTCACCACACCAAGAGCTCGTCACAATGGGAACAAACTCTTTTGTCCTTGCATTATGGAGGTGCTTCTTCAGCTGTTTGGCAAAACGTTGCCACCTAATAAAAAGCAGTAATCAGTAACAACTTAGAATCTCCAAAACTGTAGTCATATTATAATTTAAAGTGTGTAAATTCCTACACTCTTACCTTTCCTGTGCAGCGTTGTACTTATTCAACCTGTCTGCCTCCTCCCTCTTCTCCTCCATCCAGCGCTGTAAGAGTTCTTCTTTCTCTCTGCAGGCCTGTTCCAAAGCCTGATTTATTCCTTTCTGCTCCGTACGCAGGGCTGCCAACTCTTTGGATTGACACTCGACGGTGTACTCAAATTCTGATAGAGTCGCCTTCATGGCGTTACTCCCTTTAGCCAGAGAAAGGGCCTCTTGGCGGAAGTGGGACACACTGAAACAGATAAGACATAAAACGATGATTTACTGTAACTTTAATTACCTCACCAGGGTACTGTTAATTCAAACACTTCGATTTTAGATTGTAGGTCACAAGTTCACCCGCTAATAATAAAGAACACCATGTGGATTATGATAGATTTATGCTTGTTCATCAAACTGTTTCTGCTTATGATATATTAACAGCTGATTGTCAAATACAGCACTAGAACACGAGGTGATTATGCAGTACTTTATAAAGTCATGCTGTTCCTTCAGTGTGCTAAAAGTAAAATATTAACACTCTTCTGTTGAATGTGTGATGTAGATGATTGGATTTATTTTTTGACTATCCATGTTATAAATGTATTATCTTTTTAATTACCACATGACACATATTGCAAGTCTGTCCATACTGGGAGAGGGATCCCTCCTCTGTTGCGGATATTGGGCTCTATACATAAACTAGATTGATTGATTGAATATATGGATCACAACCTATTCTTTAAATTCAGCATTTCTTCAACTTGCCCCATGACGTCTCACAGGTTGATAGGTATTGCAAAAGTAATTTATTTCATTATTGGGTATTGAATATTATGGAGAATCAAGGCTGTTGTCACTTAAGAAAATGCTATGGAAAAATGCAATGAATTCCCCAAACCACTTTCAAAGTGGGCTTTAAGGTGACCCAACAAACTGCACCCAAGGATTATTTGTCTCTAAGTATTATACTCAGTTTTATTAACAGGGAGTTTACACTGATGTCTGTTGTTTTAAAGTGGACCTATCATGCTATATTTGAATAATATAGTGTAGGACCATACCTATATAAGGCATATCTATACTTTTTCTTTTTCAAAATACCAAACAGATCATGCATTTTAGCCATGCCTCATTTTGCTCAATTTGACAATTTCTAGCTCTGGGCAGATTCTGTGAGAACAGCACCACTTACAGGCCTGGCATATGTACTACAGCGTCTCCAGCGCTTTCGAACGACAATGGCCGTGGCTGTCTCCTCCTGATTGGTGGAGTTGGCCCAATAGCCGTAGCGCCACTGTCCTGACGTCAGGACAGTGTTCAAATCTGGATCAGTTTTTATCAGATCCGTTGCAGCCCCTTTTTTAGAGATTTGGGTATGGAGGAAAATAGAGAGGGTTGTGTTTTCTGACACTTGGTGAGTTCCCTGGAACACCGGGGACACATATTCATGTATAAAAGACGTACAAAAGTGCATTTAGCATGATAGGTCCCCTTTAAACTTGAAATTACCGTGACTGCCAGTACTGCAGTTCAGCCTCTTTCAGATACAGGACTGTGGTCAGGTCAGAGACGGTCTGAGACAGCTGTGAGGAAAAGAAGCAACAACAAAAAAATGATGTTATTGTCATTTTAAAAGTTAAAAGGCAATAGTATATTTTCTGATTAGTACTGTAGGTGCATGTCTGAGGTTTAGAACACATTCTTGTGCAACTATGCCTGCTTATTGAACAGATTTTGGGGGCTGATAATATGTTAGTCCTTGGATTTCTCCTCATTGAACCCACCTTTTCTGCCAGGTGTTCACTTTCCCTCAGTTGGAGTTGAAGGAGTCTGGTGTCTTTCCCAACTTCACGTCCACCTCGGTCTAAACTGCAAAGAAAGTGAAGAAATATATAAACAAATACAGAACAAACAAGCTTTGGGTATCCAAATCGCCAAAATGGAGAAATGTAAATGTCGTTTACATTTCTAACCTCTTAGATTGAACATCATCCAAACATGTTTTGCGAAATTCAAACCGTTCCTCCATCTGAGACACTGAAAGACAGAACACACATGTCCTCAGGCTAAGACACTGGGAACATACTGCAAAAGCTAATAGAGGAAATATTAAACTCACAGCTCGTGAACACACCGATGAAAGGCAACTTCTCAGTTTGGTCTCTCTGTTGCAGTTCACCACGCACGTGATTCTTCCAGCTTCTCATTGTGATTGAAACGAATTTGTCAATCCCCAAAACGTCAACAGGTTTAATAAGTTTTTCTATCCCACTTTATTTTGGTCAAAGACGATATTATTGTCAAAACGTAGCCGAAAACACAGGAATTAATGAACTGCCTGAAAAAAAGGCACAACTCCTCCCTGTTCAGTCAGCTGCTTCACATCCCCCCGGCTATAACCTGTGACCTGCAGGGACCCTGTCTCCTTCATACACTTTATCAAAAAACGTTACTATACTAATCTTATATATGCATGATCCCATACATATAACAGGAGTAGGCTTTTTGTGTAAGTTATTTTAGATAAAATCACATTACGCTATGAATATTTGTAGCCTACGTTTAATATTTTACTTTTGGAATGTAACTATAAAGCATGTATATATATTTATAATCATTATAATAACAGTAATACAAAAATAATAATAATAATAATATATTATTTACATTTTCCCAAATGATTTTTAATTTTTAAATAATAATTTACAAAACCTAGATTTTAAATGGCACAATACAATCGTTTTTGATACCATTTGGCTAAAAGACATAACATAATAACACAAAACACGGGACCGATTAAAAAGAAATTGAAACCCTTTGGTGTTTAATATATTTTCAGAATAAAGCACAACAGAATGTGCTCAACTCTTCTAGAAAGACGCTCTGAAAGCACTTCCGGTTCAATTTTTTTTAAACATGTCGCATTTACTTGAGTATTTTCCGTAAAATAAGGATATAATCTACTTTTCAACCTCAGAAAAATATTCTACTTAAAAAACGAAATAATTTTGATGGTCGATATAAGAAATAAGATGTGTTTTGTAGTTTGTCTCTTGGTCAAACCGGAAGTTGTTGCTGCTCGCATTAACGTGTGCTCTGACAACAACAGACAGACTGACCGGCTGAAAGAGGAGAAGCTGCAAGCTTATTTCTCTAGTTTAGACAGGGTTTAACACATTAGGTATAACAAAGAAACAACAGCGTCCCATGTGAGTGTAATTTAGCTTTTATTCTGTACAGTTTCATGAGTCAGCGCTGATATTTTCTGCAGCTAACCTGCCAAGCTAGCAAACTAGATACAACTTTATTGAGACATTTGATCTTGCTGGTAATACTGCGTAGATTATCATGAGTTGTCCACCCATGGATAGGTTTTCTGATTGTTAAAGCAGATTGTCAGTGTGTGCTGGAGTGAACTGTGTGTCCAGTATGAGTGCACCAGCTGGGGACAGAGAGATCCCCCTGGACAATGCAAAGGAAGAGATCAGTGGCCCTGTCTGCACAGGAGAGAGCAGCAGACATGTGAGTAACCATCGACTGGAAAGTGACTAGAAAGATGTATACAAAATATCAAATTCGGAAATCCAACCCGAGTAACTCACTACATATATGATCAGCGGTGTAAAGTAACTACATTAAATTGATTAAATACAAATGTGAGGGACTTGTACTTTACTTGAGTATTTCAATGTTTTGCTACTTTGTACTTCTACTGCATTGCAATTCAGAGGTACATCGTGTACCTTTACTCCACTGCATCTATTTAATACCTTTAGTAACTTTTTAGATTTGGTTTCATAATGTGAAATATAATCAACACATAAATAAGACTTTAGTTCCACCTGGAGTGACATTCACACGCTACCCTGCAGTATACAAAGTCATTCAAACTAGCTGCACCTTTACCAGCTTGATAACAATTAAATGCATCAATAATTATAATCAAAACATATGATGTATATTATTCTGAAATGGGTCAATCTGCATAATGAGTACTTTTACTTTTTGTACTTCAAGTATATATTGATGCCAATACATTTGTACTTTTAAAAGAAACATTTAGAATGCAGGACTTTTACTTGTAACAGAGTATTCCTACACTCGTGTACTTCTAGATCTGAGTACTTCTCCCACCTCTGGATATTATGTTTTACTTTGTGTTCCTGCAGGACTCCGCAGTGTGTGCAGGCAGCAGTGAGATAAAGAGCCGAGCGGTGGTGAAGTACTGCGCCGCCCCCCCCCCCCACCAGCTATGCCCTGCTGCAGGAGCAGACGGACCTGAAGCTGCCCCCTGCCAACTGGCTCAGAGAAAACCCCCAGCTGGGCAGCGCGGGCACCACCATCCTGGGCTCCAGCAGCAAGAGCAAGCCTTTTTCCAGGTATAATATCATCTGAAATATTTTATTATTATTATTTTATATTGTTGAATGTTCTAGTAGAAACTGTGTTGGCCTCTGTAGATTCTTTGCTTTATTTAGGAAGTACACTGTCCAAAGAATGGTTTTAACAAGTAAGCCTGGCCCATAGTGGTTGGTCAAAACATACAACTGTGAATTCATCGTTCACAGTATTGATGCCATCTTTAATGATTTTTAGGACCAAAAAAACAACAAACTAAATTGTTTCTCAGAGACATACCAGCAAATTGTGGATTTAAAGCATACTGTAATGTTAAAAACTCTTGTGTGTATCGTCAGGGTTCCGTGAGATTTATCTAGGCTTTAAATGTCCTCAAATGTTGTGTTTCATAAATAAAAATAAAGGACAGTTTTTGCGAGGACAGTTTGTGAATATGTTATTCTAGATAGAGATAGAGAAGATGCAAGTACATTTGTATTGTCTTGGATAACTGTGTAAACCTGCCGGGCAGATGGCCTCTGTTGTTGGTCTGAAAGCTCTCATGAAGACAGATTAAAAATCACTGCTTCATCCATTTTAGGTCCAGTGTATAATGGGGTAAATCGTTAACAACCCTTATCCACATTCACAAAAACTCTGTAATGATCATATTTATTCCCTTCTTTTGTAGTTTCGGGATGGCTTATGAATTCATCGATTGCATCGGGGACGATGTCGACGTGGTTTCAGACTCAGAGGTTTGTAGAGCTGTCGCAAAGCTGGTAGATTAAATTCTGAACCTGGTGTCAACATGGTTTTCTTTCATTTTCAGAACATCAAGAAGCTTTTGAAAATTCCCTACAGCAAGTCCCACGTCAGCATGGCCGTTCACCGCGTGGGAAGGACGTTACTTTTGGACGACCTGGACATTCAAGAGCTCTTCATGAAATCCTCTCAGGTACAGCAGGGACTGGTTTACAACTTTTTAAATAGTTATCAGAATCAGAATACCTTTATTCGTCCCACAAAGGGACATTTTGTATTTGTTACAGCAAGAAAAGAGCCAAAGAAAGCCTAATATTACCCAAGAAGCATGCACAAAAAAAAAAAAGTTTTTTTTAAAAGATAAAGAATTATAAAGAAAATTACACAATTTAGAAAATACACATCCTGTAACAGTTCTGAGATGTAGCAGCCAGGTATATATTGCACAGTTATTAACGGTATATATATATATTGCACATAATTGGTATTGCACAACAAGGGGACAGTACTTATGACTGTATCTTTTAAATATGTGGTATAATTGATTGTATTCTCTCTCCTATATTCGTGTTGTAGACTGGGGATTGGACGTGGCTGAAAGAGTTTTACCAGCGGCTAATAGATCAGAAGTGGCAGAGGAAGAAGAAGAGTAAGGAGCACTGGTATCAGAAAGCTATCCTGTCAAAGTTCCTCTACTACAGGTGGGTTCTTGGCGTTACTTGAATTATAAGCGAAAAGGGGAGAATATATCACGGGAGTCAGGTTGCATTTCTTCTTCATTCATCTTTCTCAGTCCTATCTGATAACATCTGCTGTGTCCCTCCAGTATAAATGGTGATGGGGCTGCAGAGCCTGTCCCAGTCAACCCTGACGGAGAGGAGAAGGAGAGCGAGGCGGAGGAGTTCAGTTCCTCCTGGCCCACCGCCTTCACCAGCACCGCGTCTGACACTGAAGAGTCAGATGCTCCCAAGCAGGTAAAGTACAGTAGCTGTTTGACATCTACTTTTTTAGTAAACAATGAGGCCAAGTTACTTTAGAAATCATGTGTATATCTTGGAGAATCAATCGTGTGTGCCTTTCAAAACCTTCAGTACTTAATGAGATGAAATGTATAAGAAGTGTTTTAAGATTCGATTGGCTCCTGGTAGACCACTAAGCATGTGTTTTGTAAGGAGTTTTGGTTTGCACTGCGTTAACTGGCTTTATTTCCAAAGGTGCAGGAAAGCTTTTCTATGGACAGCATGTTTGCTCTGGACCAGGTGACGTCGGCACCCAAAGAGCAGCACCTCGCCATGCTCTTCAACGAGGGGGAGAACAGTCAGGTAAAACAACGTTCTTTATTGTATTTACTTCTACGGTATTAGTACCTCATGTCTAATTTCGGCATACACGTTTTCCCTTGTTTGACAGGGTTTGAGGAACGACTTTGTGCGAAACATCATGTGGACTTTTGAGGATATCCACATGTTGGTTGGGTCCAACATGCCTATTTTCGGAGGGGGTCGCTACCCCGCCGTCAGTCTGAGACTCAGGTTGGTTTGCTCCCATTAGGATTTAAAATGTTAACTAATTTAGAGAAGACCTGATAATGTAATCCTTCTATTTTGATTATATTGCATGTCTGTTGCCTTCTGTTGGGGTTAGATAAGATAAGAGGTACTTTATTGATCCCAATTTGGGAAATGTTTGCGTTGCAGCACCATACAAATGGATGCATGTGTCAGCAGCATAATACAGATTGCTTATAGTTTGTCATTTTAGTTTTCTGACCTTTTTCCAAGGGGAGCCAGACATTTTATTTTGGATGCTGTAACCTCATCAGAGCTACACTGGTTGGTTTCACTTCATAATTGTGTTTAATCTAACATCTAAAACGTTCTCACTGTTTCTCAGGGACAACAATAAACCGATCAACATCCTGACGGGTATCGACTACTGGCTCGACAATCTGATGTGTAATGTCCCCGAGCTCGTCATGTGCTTTCACGTCAACGGCATTGTACAGGTAAATAGATCGAGTCTTAGTTCAGTTTTATTATTATTAAGTCTAAATATCTGTTTGATCATAGCAGTACATTTATTTTTTTAAATCACTTTTAATTTTTAGCTCTTTATTGAAAAATGTCATCAATAATGAAACTTCAATTGCTCTTGATCTACTCTTTGTACTTTCTGATTTGATGCAAACTGCATTCTGTTGTATTCTGTGCCTTTGCAATAAAGATGAATCTAATCTAATCTAAACAAATTGAAATAAAAAATGTTAACGCAGAAATACGAGATGATAAAAACCG